CTCACCTCATCCTGCTTACGAGATGGGCGTCATCATTGAGGTACCACCCCACATCTGGAAGGTAGGTCCAGTCCAAGCCTCCCATGCCCCATCTTGCCGTAAGTGCCTTCTCGCAAATCGTTCCTCTTCCTTTCAAGAGAGTTGGGGCTCTCTATTAGTCTGCGAGTGCAGTTACGAAGACCTCGTGGTTAGTCCCGGAAAGGTTGTAATGATTCGACAGGGCGGTGTCACTCGCCCTGTGGTGGTTGCGGCTTCCACCCTGTACCACGCCTGATTCCTCCCTCTGGACAGTGCTACTCAACTTAACCCGAGCAGCCATGGTCCATTCCAAACGGCCGTGCCGCCCCTCTACGACATGGTGTGTGGTTGGGGAGAAAAAAATGAGACTTAGGAAAAAGAATGGTTCTCTCGCCCGTTTGACTCCACGCCCTTGACGTTTAGGTTCTCAACATGAGGCGAAGTTTGAACTTCCCGACTAGAGCTCGTTGTCGGGGTTAGTTCCGGACGGCTAGCATCAATCAAAGAGAGAGGTGCTTTGGTCCTTTAACCCTTTTTTTTTCCTTTTATGAGGAATAGGTCGCGCTGAGACTTTTCCCTTAACGGGTAGAGGTCTTGGGGTCGCGATGCACGCATTGCTATCCCCCTTATGTTGAGACCTGAGACTAGAAGAAAAAGGAAAACTCAATCTCTTGCTATTTCCATGGTCGGCCCGACGACCTTACATCAAGTTGCCTAGGGTCCCCTGACTATGAAATGCAATATCCAATTCTCACTCATTCAATCCAATGCTATTTCCAAGGCTGATTCTCATAGCTGGTCCGACAGCCTTTCATCAACAAGGCCACCCACATGACTGATCTGGTTGTCATTCTCTCAATAGCCATTTCTCAACACTGACCCTTTCGCCCATTCAATCCTCAATTCTCTCATTCCTCAACACCCAATTTTTGTGACCGTCCCAACGGTTTCTGCCCTTCTTGGCTTTAAGGCTCGGCATTCTTTATCCTGCCCTTCTCATTCACATCTTTCTTCCGCCCCCTTGGCTATTTCAGCGGCCGACCCACCGGCCATTTCCATCTCTTCCATTCATCCCATTGGCTATTTCAGTGACCGACCCACCGACCTTTTCCATCTCTTTCATCGATCCATTGGCTATTTCAATGACCAACCCCCCGACCTTTTCCATCTCTTTCGCTCATTCCATCACATTCTCAATCAACCTTTCTCAATCAAATATGCAGGGGAGCCCAGTGCCTATTTCAAAAGGAATGACCCTTGTCAGGGGCCGTTCTCGAACAACCTGGTTAGGGTCGTTCTTTTCCATTCTCAAGTCAAACAGCCTGGTTAGGGTCATTCCTTTCCATTCTCAAGTTGAACAGCCTGGTTAGGGTCATTCCTTTCCATTCTCAAGTCGAACAGCCTGATTAGGGCCATTCCTTTCCATTCTCAAGTCGAACAGCCTGGTTAG